CCATTCATTTGACAACGGCAACAATTACCATAGTTAAAAGCACTGCGAAAAAACATTAAATAGATATCAACATATACGTTTACTTCAGAAATTTTCTCTTCCAAAGGCTTTAACAGAGCCATTTCAGTTAAAAACTTGTATATAAAACCTACTTCTCAGTTTTGTCTGTTCGAAGAATAATTAAATAAAGCATTAAATTCTATAATGTGGTCGAACAACACTGTTAAGGAACAGTGAATCGAAAACTATGAGAAGTGCTCTTCAAAACTTGCATTTTACGCTTTCATTACGAATACTTGGAAAATACAAAACTTGTTACTTTAATTAAGAAAATAAAGCTAATGAATAAAAGTAACTGACGTGTGAATAGTGAATAGCTTCTCGCTATTCATTAACGTTATTATAGGAGATTACTGTAACAAATCATTACCAAAACTACAAGTAAAAATGTAAGCTCGTCGGCACTGTGAGCAAATAAAGTATAATCACGATCTACCAAAAGTAGCCATTGTAATAATGTGTAATAGATGAAATACGCTGTTGCTCCTTTCAAAGAAGTCATTTGGAGCATAATCCTTAAGCAACAATTTGAGTGATTGCCCTGATTTGTATGATGATTATATTTTTTACTCAGTTTGAACTCCGTATAATTACGATTGATCTTTCAAAAGAACTAATTCTTTTTTTTGTAATCATATCATGAACAATATTAAAACGGTTCTTTTGTTTAAATATTTACTATATCAAAAACGATGTTAATAAGTATCATTTGTATTTAATAATGCTAAAATAATGAAAATAATGGCTGATAAAAGTTAGGGGTCTCTGCAATATATTATCAAAATTGTTTGAAAACCGCAGAACTTTTATTAATAAATGGTAATTTGAAGTATAGGCTAGAAGTGCAACTTAAGCTCCAAAACTGCTCAAGGTTTTGGATTTCTAGTTTTCATGAAGAAAATTACTGTCCCTCCGAATAGTTGGCATAATAGTTACTCACTACTTTGTGGCTCATGAACAAATGTAAAAAATCATTTTAGAAATTTTGAATGTATTTATAGTTTAACCTTTTTTATTTCTTTTTTATTTTTATCGTTAAATTTTGTCAGTTACTGAATCAGTTTCGTTACAAATATTATGAAAGTTGGACATAATGTTCTACTTCAAAATTTCAGCATTTATGTAAACCATTAAGTAGTTACAGTGATTTAGTTTAAACATAATGTTCTTGTATATACTATGGATATAAACATTACTTAATAATGAAATTAAAATATTCTTTATAAGCAATGCGTCTACTTTGTATCGTTTTTTGCAACAATAAAGTTTTATTGAAGCAATAAACAACTAAAGTTCAAAGTTATGACAGAAACAATAAGTACTTCACAGACTTAAAGAATAAACAATTAATTCGATAATTATCTCAGTGTTACGAAGCAGACTTGAGCACTTTTTTAAATAAGTAATATTTGACTTTATTTTCATGTGTGGTACATATGGCTTATTTTGTGTTTGACAGCAGCTGTGAATCATTATCTGATGAATATTATTGATGAGTTATAAAAAGAAAACGATCCACTAGTTTGTATCAACAACAAGTATAACATAGCTAGAAAAAACTAATTGATTTATTCTATTTGTTGCTAAGCAAAAAGCTACACAATGGGCTATTTGGACTATGTCAATCGCAGGTATCGAAACCTGATTTTTAGCGTGAAAAGCCCACAGACTTACCGCTGAGCAAGTTGGGGGCTCTCAATGATGAATTACAGTTTTCAATGTAAAACTCTTTTAAGCAAAACTACTTTTTGCAATTTAGTTTGTTTTTAAACAACATTATAGAACATATATTTAGTTCGTTTCGTATGCATAAAATTCCTCAAAGCATATGATAAATTTCTCTTCGACTTGTTTCTGCTATATTTGTGTGTTTCTTGTGTAAATTAATAATAAAGACAAATCTTAAATATCTTATGATACTGAAACTTCACTGGCGATCACATGAACAAGGGTTTTGTAAAGTTTGTGTGGAATGATGAAA